AAGGTTTCAGAAAGATGTCTTTCTGTCTTGCTGTACAACCATTTGGTTTCCAAAAGTAGTTTTCACTGCACTGTTAAAAAGAATTATTGCAGTCAGTAATTTTCAGAGCAGTCAGTGTGCTAAAGGCCTTCAGCTGTTGCTGTTTTATTTGCTACTTGTTGAAGTGGTAAGCATTCTTAAGCTTTCTGTGGACGAGCTTTCTATTTTTCCCCTTAATTCAAAAATTAATACTTTGCTGTGTGTAGCATATGACATTCATAAGGAGTATCTGCAGCTGTAGGGAGAAGAAAGCTTGGGGCTCTGAAGCAGGTATTGATGTAGGAGTAGATACAGAGGCAATGCAAAACCTGAGCAGGAAATCTGATATGTGCTTAGTATTTCTTTACAGCTGTTCTTGTAAGATCAGGGAAGGTCTACAGGAAATTCAAAGGTTTTAACTTTTAATTGGGAAGCTGAGGCCGCCTCCTTTTCCCTTTTATCCCCTGGATGGAGAGTAATTGGAACGTGGCTGACTTTGTCCCTTAGGAAACACAGTTTGGTGGTCCAAGTAAATTATTTTTGTTACTTGTTGAAGATAATCAAGCTACTAAGAGTTGTTTTTTCATGTAAGCGTGAGCAATTTGTGCAACGTGGTGTAGGGAACCTGCTTTGGCAGGGGGGTTGGACTCGATGATCTCTGGAGGTCCCTTCCAACTCCTACAATTCTGTGATTCTGTGAATTTTGTACTCCCTTCCAGTGGGTTTTGTGCTACTGAACCACACTGAGTTCCATTAAACTTGGAAGAAATTTCTTGTCCTGAAGATGAAAGGCAAGAGACAGAATATATTTAATATAGGATATATATAGTTGAGATATATCCTTTATCTCAACTGTACTCTCTTGTGAGGAAAAATCTTTTTCCTAACTGATATGCAGAAAATGAGACAGTTGAGGGCTAAGGTCCTACTACTGAATCTCCACAAACATTTGAGGGTGAGAAACATGGTGATTTAAAAGACTCTTTGCTCCTTGCTTTTGTGTGTCTTCTTAGATATAGAAGCTCCTTTGTGGTTTAATTACACCTTTCTAAAGTGTTTAAGGGAATAGTTTGTATTGGGACATCTGACAGTTGTGCCAGCAGTTAGACTGTAGACCCTCCACAACTTCATGGGAGCAGAACAGGAAGAAAAGAAAGCACAACTTTTTAAAACCAATAGCTGCACTGCAGTGAAACGTAGAAACCAGGTGAAAGGCTGCTCTTCTCAAAACTGTGATGAGGGTGATGGTGATGGTAGGTTTTGATATTGATGTGTGCTGGTAGTTCTCTTACTTTATCATTGTTTTCAAAGGAACAGGTGACTGCCTGTCACTTTTCTCAGTCACAGAATGGCTCAGATTGGAAAAGACCTTAAAGATCATCAAATCCAACTGCAACTTAACCATGCTGCCCTAACAGCCACCTGTAAATTACATCCCCAAGCACCACATCCAGAAGGTGTTTAAATACATTCAGGGATGGTGACTCACACTTCAGAAATGCAAAGATCTCCATTTCAGTCTTGCAAAAACCTTTAACTCTTGTTGTCCTTCTACAGGCCCAGCGTCTCCCATTTCTTCACAGCTCAAATATGGCACTGGATACTCTGAGAGGAAATGATGAATGCATCGGTTTTGAGGATATTCTTAATGGTATATACATAGTTTTGAATATTTTAGAAACACTGAAAGGTGAAATTTAGGAACTGTGTAGCTCTTTGCCACTAGGGGATAAGACTTTTAAAAGCTGTCATGGTTTTATGACTGGAAAAAAAAAAAAATTGGAAAAAACTGGAAATAAAAAATTGAGTTCCAAAAGGCAAAGAAGCACCTGGGAAAGATGAATAGGTGTGGTTCAGTTGCTAGTTGCATGGAATGTAATCTGTAGTGCTAAGGAAGTCTGTATTTGTTTTTGGGCTGGGTTTCTTGAGGAGCTGAAGATGATGCTTTTATACTGGATGTCTGATCCCCGGAGATTTTTGAACTAATTTCACAGATTTTGAAAGGCAGAGATTACAAAGACATAAGTTTTTTTTATAAGTTCTATAATTAGAAAGAAAGATTAGAGGACAAAATCATTAATATGCCTTATTTATGAGAGGAAAAAGCAGTCCAATACAGCTGCAGTGGACCTTTCTTCCAAGGTGCATTTGCAGCCTTGTTTTTTTTTTTTGACATGGACTTTTGTATGGAAGTGAGGTTCATTCTGTCAGTGATTGGGATGGCTTGTGTTTCCCACGTGTTCCTGGATAGTCTTTCAATACAGCAGCCAATGTGAACCATAGTTAGGGCAAGGGAGGAATCTCAGAAGATCGTTAAGGGCATAGGATTTTTGTGAAACAAGGCAGTAGGCTGGAGAAAAGAACACGAGAATGTTCCAGCTAGCAGAAGGGCTGAATGATCAACTCCTCATGTTCTAAAGAAAAGTTGCATTGGAAAGGTGTATGGAACCTGTGGAAGAAGCTGTGATCAGACTTGCATTTTATTAGATACAGATCTCATTTAGCCATTATAGGATGTGCTTTTGTAGAACTACTTGGTTTTACTTGAGCAGTTCCCTTCTGCCCCCTTACAAAACACTCACATCACTGTTCCACTGTAGGTGTACTGGTTATCTGATCATTGCTTTGGACAGAGGTGCACTGTGCAGTACTGTCAAGAATCAATTGAGTAATTTTTGCACTAAGCATTACAATGAAAAAATTAAGTATGGTCACCTTCATAGTTCTTATTGGTCTTTGTAGCTTGGTAAAAGCCTAATGCTTTTGACTCTTCTTTTTTTTCTTCAGATCCTTCACAAAGTGAAGTTATGGGAGAGCCCCACATGATGATGGAATACAAACTTGGTTTATTGTAACAAAATGTACTCCAGAATGTTTTGTGTGTGTCTTTATACTGCAGATCTAAATATGTGATCACTAAATTGACTCTCAGCGTTAAACAGTCATGCAGATATCATTTGCCTTCCTTGGTGAAAAGGCATATTAAATGTTTAAAGTCCATACATTGTTCTGTGCTTGTTGTCAATTATATAAATGTCCTGTAACTAGACAGCTTAAATAATGTCTCCTCATACACTGCTCAGGATAAGTCTCTTAGTTATGGAAATGCTATACATGTGTACAAGAAATCCAAGTACCCATGCATTTTAAAAGTGATTATTGTAGGTAAATGCATTTAATGGATGTTCTTGCAGAACTTTTTAAGGAGGAAACAAAGACGTTTTCCATCGAGTAATGCTTTGTTCATGAAAACTTCCATACACTTTTTTAAGCATTGAATAAAAGTTTGCTATAAATGCTGTTGTGTTCCAAAATACAGTTAATTGTGAATCGTGGATCTCTTGTCCACAACACAGTGTTGTTACTTTTTCTTGCCATTACTTTAAAGATCTTTAATTTCTGCACTGCCAGTGGAATCCTGCTGCATGCATTTCCTCCCTCCTGTTAAGGCAGCTGGAGTGGTTTGGCATTGCAGGCAACCAAGAGAATAACCAGACAGACTTTTCCAGTCTTTATTGTATTGCTTGTGATGGACAGACACCATATGTCTGTGACCACCCCCTCTGTGTTTTTACTAATGGAACAAAAGGGGTTGTGGTTCAAAATGGATAATCTCTTGTCATCCGCAGGGAGTGTGAAACAATACTTCTGAGGCAGGAATTATTTTATCCAGCAGATTTTTATTACTCTTAGGTGAAGTGCTAAGAGTGCTGCTATAGATGATGTTAGCAGAAATGAGAAATGTTGCTACAAACCTGTTCAAATTCCCAGAACCTCAAGCATCTCTTGGGCTTTTCAGTGTGCTTAAAACTGCCATAAACTCCTTACGCATATGCACCACAGCTTCTAGCTGTCTTCATGTCAATTTCATGGTGCTCTTATGCATATTTATTGCAAAATGTTGCAGCAAATTAAAAACACTGAGATGATGAGATAATTTATTGGTGGTTTTGTTGTTTTTTTAAGAAACTCAAAATTGCCTTTTAAGAGTTGGAGAGATCAGAGGTTTTCTAATGAAGTAAACATTAAGCCCTCAGTTGTATCTGTTGCCTCAGTGAAGTTATATGAAAGGACTAATAAATTTAACATGAAAGCATAGACCTACTCGATGTTTTATGTAGCTGTTCTTTCTGTGAGCTGCTATGCTTTAAATTAGCAGGAAACGCTGCTCATGTTCAGTAAAAGTGAAATTTCTTAGTGGATATGTCTGAAGCAAGAGCAAGCTGTTGCAGAGCAAGTAGGTCGGGTTTCACCAGACTTTGTGTTGTGGTAGGGTCAGGGCAGGGTGAGATCAAGCCATATTCAGAGCAGGGAAGTTGCATTGTTCATCATGTCTGTAAGGATGCTAATTTTAGGAGTCAGCCAGGCTGGAAAGCAAATGGTGTCTATGAAGCACATACAAGAATTTATGTGGTATGCTGTTAATGTAATGGAAGTCAAACAGAGGCAAAGAGCTTTTGGGATTAAAAGGAAGTGTTACTACTAAACTGGTTGAGGGGGAAGCTGGTCTTTCTGGCCCAGCCCCTTCTCCCTGTCTCTCCAGGCTTCCTTCTGTGAGGCTGCATGCAGCAGCCCACAAGCAGAGCCTGAGCAGATGTGCGCCGTGTGAGGTGTGCGGCCGGCTGGGTCAGCCCTGCTGCTAGGGCTCATCTGGGACTCAGCCTGGGCCATGGGAGGAAGGTGCTCTCAAGTGCGTGCAGCACTGCAGCCCCTACACTGACCTGTGGCCCACAGCAGTGTTGGATCTGTTCTGCAGTTCATCTCCTGTTGGTGCTGATGTTGTGGGCAGCATCCCTTCCTCTCCCCCAGCACAGGAGGGAAGCAAAATCACATCTTCCTGCACTGCAGTTTGTTTGCTACGACTGCACAAACAGGCAGCAGCGTGTCACCGCTGTATGCTGCTTGCGTAAGTGTTACTCTACCAGTCCTCCCACTGGCCATTTGCCAAAAGCCACATGAAGAACTACAAATACAACACAGAATTTAGACCAAATTTCACTATTGATTTCTGTTAAAATAATCTGTATTTAAATACAAATAAATCAACTGCTACATACTTGAAAATAAAGCACATTAGTACCTGGTTTCCTCAACATTTTCAATGCTAGGCACTTTAAAAACACAAATCATGCCCTTATGTGTTTTGGCTGAAACTTAGCAATCCCATACACTGTGTCTAGCTGAAATATTCTGTAAACAGCAAATACTTGGTACAGCAACATCGAACCTTACCAAAGCCATTCCCAAAGTGCACGTGCACCTTCTTATTCCCAGCAGAGTGCAGCCACAGAACTGCCTTGCTGCCTTCATTGAAGAAGTGAAGGCATACCCCTGTTTTTTTTTTCCCACTTCCAGGCACTGTGCAATAGTTAATTTCACAAACACTTAGAAAACTGCTTAATGAAGACAAAAGGAAGACAGTGCAGTCTTTGTGCTGAAACTCTTTACATCAGTGTATCCTTAATGTCTCTACAAGTACCTGTTAAGTTTTGGACCCAGTGATTACTGTAAAACGCATCTTGCTTCTTACACAAGTTGGCAGCAACTTGGGCACCTCAGGGATGAAGAGTTACACAGTTTTATTTACTGGCTAGTGCATAAACTAGGAAAAGCTAATGATCTTTAATTGCCAACATAAGTTTTGGTTAACGAGGACAGAAGCAAAATACTCATCCATACTAGTTAGCATTTTCTCTCCTGGAGAAAAGTAACTGTCTTTATAGAATCACAGAATAGCCTGGATTGAAAAGGACCTCAAAGATCATCTGGTTTCAACCCCCTGCTATATGCAAGCTCTCCAACCAGCAGACCAGGCTGCCCAGAGCCACATCCAGCCTGGCCTTGAATGCATCCAGGGATGGGGCATCCACAACCTCCTTGGGCAACCTGTTCCAGTGCGTCACCACCCTCTGTGAAAAACTTCCTCCTAATATCTAACCTAAACCTCCCCTGTCTCAGTTTAAAACCGTTCCCCCCTGTCCTATCACTATCCACCCTCATAAACAGCCGTTCCCCCTCTTGTTTATACTCTCCCTTCCAGTACTGGACAGCCATGATGAGGTCTCCCCGGAGCCTTCTCTTCTCCAAGCTAAACAAGCCCAGTTCCCTCAACCTTTCCTCACAGCAGAGGTGCTCCAGCCCTCTGATCATCTCAGTGCCCTCCTCTGGACCCGCCCCAAGAGCTCCATGTCCTCCTGCATCATTTCCCCCAATAACAGATAGCAGTGATCTTTTCTCACAGAGTGGTGAGGCTCAGGCTGCCCTGAGAGCTGTGGGCGCCCCATCCCTGCAAGCACTCAAGGTCAGGCTGGGTGCAGCCCTGGGTGGCCTGAGCTGCTGGGAAGTATCCCTGCACATGGCAGGGGCTGGGGCTGGGTGGGCTGTAATCTCCATTCCAACTCTAACCATTTTTTGGTTGTGTGACGTATCATGAACAACACTGCCTTTCAAACAAAAAGGATCCATGATAGCATTGCCCTGATGCACTATTATGTGCCACTGAGGAGCTCTGCAGAAGTACTCTTGGTAATAACGATCTGTCTCCCGATACATTTCGATTTTGCTGACTACTCTTTCTTGGGGAAGACAGTCACATACAACCTGTCTCTCCTTTCAGGGATCAGGACAATTTTGGCTATAGAACTCTCTTCTAAAATAACACATAGGAGTGATCTTTAACAGGGTGTTCATTCCCACTTTTTTTTATTCCCACTTTTGCTATGCTATGCATTCCAAAAGCTAATACTGTGGCTAGTTTCTGCCTATAGGTCTCAAGGAAAAAGCTGAAGAATCAACACAAAAACTGATCTCTAGGTTTAGAGCTCTTCATGATTTGCAATGTGACCCAGAGCAAGTCACTTCTCCTGTCTGTTGATTTCTGTTCCTCTGAAACAGGGAGGATAATATATTGTAGAGGGAAGTTCCCAGCAGCATTTGTAAAGTGCTCTGAAGATTAGAAATGTTATTCAAGTGCAAATAAATTACACTGCATTCATTTTAAGATGCTTAGGTGCACAGTTCAGATCTGGTGACCTCATTTCAGAATTAATAAAAAAGGTATCTGAAGATCCACTGAAAAAAAAAGCTGTTACAGCCTTTCATTAGAAATACAAAGCGAGCTCAGTGCTGCCAGCTTAACTGGAAAACAAGAAATATCCATGGGACAAAACATAGAGTTGTCTTTAGGTAGCCTCCAATATGTGAAAAAAATGATGAAAGATTTATAATTTAAAAATAAATGTGCAGTATGGCCTCTGCAAAATGTAGGCACAAGCCTAACTTCACACTCTTACAGTCTGGAAATTTCCTAAGTGTGAGAATCCATTTTAAGAACTAAATCACAGGCAAGCTCCAAACACCATACATTCAACTTGCACAAACATTCTCTGGTAACTGCAGAGAGGAAAGTCTTACAGCAGGTACAAGTCTTGCTTTCCGTTCAGTTGCTTTCTGAAAGAGGTACCTTTTTGTTTAGCAATTTTAGACAGTTCTGTGGGCTTCACAGTTAAGATGGAGCTTTTAAGATGTATGCAGTGGATTGCATGCACAGCTGGCACGAGCTCCACTGGCTACAGCAGAATTGCCAACATCCTCTGGCTAAGGGGCTGATAAGCTTATCTCTGTACCCCCACTTAGACTGACACAAGATGTATCATAATCTACAGCTTATATTTTCAAATTTGAGATGGGGTAAGTGGCAAAACACAATCAGCCTACCTTACTTTTTTTCTCCACGCTGAAAGCAGCATTAAAATCTCCATTGCTGGCCTATCTGCATAGTTAAGTACAGGAGATAGGTTCATTCAAGTCCTAAAAAAAGACTGGATGTAAAGTGCTATCAATTGAGTGCTTAGTGCAGCCAGTTTTAGATTTCATCTGCAACTCATGAGTTATCTCTATGGTGTCAGTATGACACAATAGCCTTTGCCACAGCACGTCAGATTAGAAAAGCCAAACAGTTGGTGACTCCTCTGTTCAACTATCAACGCTGTCTATGCTGGATACTTCTTCAGGTACAAGCAGAGCCAAGTCCTCCTCATTCCAGCTTGTGCACAGAAGCCAGCTGCAAGACACAGATAAGACAGATACTGTTAGCTGAGTATAGCGTGATGATTCAGCAGTAAAAACAAACCTGATAGTTCTGTTACAGCCATCTCCCACAGCACAAAGCCCTGGACATATCTTAATAAACAAAACCAATGATAGTACTTGTCCCTCATTAGAAAAGTTAGGCAATATCATTTCTGCTGCGTGTGAAAAATACTAACTTAGCAGGCAGACTGATTACAGACTGGAACTACTAACATTTCATCTCTCAAACAGTAACTCTGTGTGACAAACTGAAGGCTTTGGAGAGTGGTTATTCAAAGGATGGGACATCTGAGAAACTAATGATGGAAGAAAAGCAGCTTTCCAAAATTTATTATGATGATCGACAGTGGTTTTGATTGCAGGATGGAGTGATTTAGTAATTAACATTTGTTAGCTTTTGCTCACGACAGAATGTTTTAACAGGAACCTTCTCTACCATGCAGCACTGAACCAAACTGAAACTAAAACTCCACAGCCTGGGTTCCCTGCCTTCTGTCTTGTCCCCCACTGGAAAACTCATATCACTGCTATATTCCCCAGTCTCAGCTCTGCCATACTCCAAGCAGTTCCCTGCCGACAAGCCTCCGAGTATCTGCCATAGGTTTGCTATATATAACTAGTTCCTAAATTAGATGAAAAATGAAGAAAGGGCTACACACAAAATACACCCAGTGAGTTAGAAAAAACTGAAGTTTGATAATGCATTAAACCACCCAGCTTCAATTCATGTCAAAACAGAAACCACCAGTAAAAGCACTCAGAAGCACCTTCCTGATATGTACTTACCACAGTACGCCCAGTGGAATTAGACACAGGATGGCTGACAAGAGGAAGCTAAAGCCTGAAAACCATGCAACTGTAGCTGCATAGATAACATTAAAGACTGCAAGTGAAATAGTGCCAGTCAAAATTTCTAAACAGGCAATACAAGCAAACACAGCACCTGCAAAATAACAAATTGGATTGGATTACAAACAAAACAAAACCAAAACACTTTCCAAGTTTTTAAACTTGTTTCAAAAGATCTATCTGCAATATTTCAGCAAGTGTGCAAGTAACAAGCTCCTGAGTACCATATATCTTTGTTATGGAAGTGTCTTCCGTGGGGACTCCTACAGAAGACTTTTTAAATGAAATTTTTTGTTGTTACTGTTGTTAGAGGAAACTACTTTTCTTTGCTATTATCCTGTCACCGCATTGCTATATTGAATCTATTTGTTACATGAAATTCAAGCTGTTCATACTCACTAACCACATTCTGCACAGCTTCATCCTTTACCCCTTTCAATTCTCCCCTCTATTCTCAGTCTCCCCTTTCTTGTTTCCTCCTTCGCTAGTCTCCATTCTTACATGTGGAAAAGGCTCTTTGCAATAAAGAGCAACAAGGACTGCTGGTTCAGCACATAACCATACCCTTCTCATTTTTTAAATGAAAGAAGCAATCTTTCACTGGCTCTGCACTACACACTGAGGTGTTAGCCTATGCCATCTGCATATTTTTGGACACATTTTCCCAAGCTGCGTCCATATTCATCAGACTATGAACAAAATCACAATAGGTAAGCAGAAAAGGATGGCAAGAGGCAACCTAATTCCTGCATCAAATTACTCAAGTATCCAAAGCCACAAAGAATGCCAAGAAACAACAACAACAGAAACATAGCACAAAGTACTTTGTACAACAGTACAAAGAGATCTTTGTTTCAGTGTCTAAAGATGTGTACTTTTTAAAATTAAAACCAACTCACAAGAATGCTTCTAGCCAATATGTGCTCCTCAAAATCTGGCTGCAGCAAAATATGAGACACCAGAGACATATTTTGAGGCCTCACATGTTTCTGTGTGTGTGTTCCATTAAAGAAAGCCCTTCTAGAAATAATATGTTACAGCCCTTGAGACACCTTTAAGTGGTCATGGGCATTTGTGAAGCTGGTACATTGCCTGGCATCCAAGCCTTTGTTTTTAAGTGTACTGAAGGCTGACCACTTAATGCTTATCTTTCTAAGTTATAAAGTGTGACACTGATGAAACAACAAGCGTTTATTTTCTCCATCAAAATCTTGTAAATGTAGAAGCTGTTCTACACGTCATGTTTACAAAAGGAACTGTAATATTGCATCTGCAACCCAGGGCTGGGCGATGTGGTTGCCAAGCTGCTCTCCATGTGTTTGAAAAGTCATAGCTGACAGATGAAGTCCCTGGTGACTGGAAAAACAGAAATATCACTCCCATTTTTAAGAAAGGGAGAAAGGAAGATCTGTGGAACAACAGGCCAGTGAGCCTCACCTCTGTGCCTGGGAAGATCATGGAGCAGATCCTCCTCGAAGAGATGTTAATGCACATGAGGAACAAGAGGGTAATTGGAGACAACCAGCAAGGCTTCACCAAGGGAAGGGCACGTCTGATCAAACTGGTGGCCTTCTGTGATGAAGTGGTGGACAAAGGAAAGGCAACTGATGTCATCTACCTGGACTTGTGCAAGGACTTTGACATGGTCCCCACCACACCCTTACATCTAAATTGGACAGATGTAGGTTCAAAGGGTGGACTATTTGGCGGATAAGGAATTAGTTGGAAGGTCACAACCAGAGGGCTGTGGTCAGTGGTTCTATGTTCAGGTGGAGGCCAGTGATGAGACGTGTCTCCCAGGGGCCCATCTTGGAATCAGTACTCTTTAACATCAGTGACAGATGATGGGATTGAGTACATCATCAGCAAGTCTGCTGCTGACACCAAGCTGAGCAGTGTAGTTGATATGGAGAAGGAAGGGATACCATCCAGGAAGACCCTGATAAACTTGAAAGGTGGGACCGTGTAAACCTAATGAGGTTTAACAAAGCCAGCTGCAAATGTTGCACTCAGTAATCTCAGATAAACATACAGACTGAGAGAAGAAATCTTTGAAAGCAGCCCTGCTGAGAAGGACACAGGGGTCCTGACAGATGAAAAACATGAGCCAGCAGTGTGTGCTTGCAGCCCAGAAGGTCAACAGTATTGTGACTGCATCAACAGAGGGGTGGCCAGTAAGGAGGGAGAGGTGTCTGTCCCCCTCTATTCTGACTTCCCCCATCTCCAGGCCCATCTGGACTCTAATGTGTCAAGGTCCTCAGGAAGGATGAGGAGCATTTGGAAAGAGTCCAGAAGAGGACCATGAGGATGATCAGAGGGATGGAATGCCTCTCCTATGAAGACAGGATGAGGAAGCTGGGCTTGTTCAGTCTGAAGAAGAGAAATCTCTGGGAAGATCTCATTATGGTCTTCCAGGACATAAAGGCAGACTACAAACAGGAGATAAATCCATTTTTTGTACAGGTAGACAGTGATAGGACAAGGGGGAATGGTTTTAAGTTAAAGGGCGGGAGATTCACATCAGATACTACAAGGAACTTTTCCACAGATAGGGTGGCGAGATGCTGGAACAGGTTGCCCAGAGATGTTGCAGATGTCCCATCCCTGGAGGTCTAAGGGGGCCCTGGGCAACCTGATCTAGAGCTTGACCTACAGCTGGCAACCCTGCCTGCAGCAGGGGGTTGGAATTTGATGATCCTTGAGGTTTCTTCCAATCCAAGCCATTCTATGATTCTGTGATCTGTATAGGTATTGAGCATTCTTCTGCTTCATATTCTCCATAATCTTTCTTTTTAGAGCAATAACTTCTTTCAAAGTTGAAACTTGCAGTAGAATCATAGAATCACCAAGGTTGGAAAATACCTCCAAACTCATCCAGCAAGCAGTCTGAAAATACCAATATATACCTGTTTGTTTAAAGGTGACCTTGGTGTGTCTCTCTTCTGAAATGCAACATCACAGCATTTTTGAAAAACAAATTCCACTCACCCTGCTCACTGGGGAGAACCACTTTTGACAGCATGGACCGGAGAACAGGAACAGGCATAATGCAGAATAAAGATGGCAATCTTACTGTAAAGCAATGAATCGGTACTGAGACATGAATGTAACAGAAATCCCAGATTTTACAGACACGTTGCAAACGAACTAGATAGGTATTTTTGAGTGCTCAGTCGCCTAAATAGTACAAGGAGATCAATCAGTCAAACCAGTTGTGCACTGAAACATAAGTATCCAAGCACAGAGGAATCCCTAAATCCACTACATGTGTATAGCACTAAAACCAAATCATAAGCCAAGTAAATTCATTCACTCTCCATACTATTTGTCTTTTGATTAAACCCTAAATCAGTATGACTCAACCTTGTATATTTTACCTCTTCAGTGTGGTACATCCAATACCCACCACCACTACAAATCACTATAAATCACACATAAGGATTTTCTTTTATATTGTTGAGAATTGACTTTGAACTCACCTAAAAACATGAGCAGGGTTGTTTTGGCAAAGGCAGCCATGACAATTCCTCCAATGTAAGAAAATATCCCGATAAATACAATGTAAATGTCTTTGAGACATTTGGAAAAGAAGTAAACTCCCAAAAAACTGGTCAGAGAGACAGAAGTGAATGCAGCTGCTCCGTATCCAATGTACACTTCAGTCCAGCACAGTGGCTCGTCCAGTTCATACAATGTAAAAAGGGAACCCCCTCCATACATAGTAAATAAATAAGTCATAAATATAAAGAGTAACACAATGATTAAAATTCTCTTTTTAGAAGGGGCAGTTTTAAAAAGCATGTACACTCCAGAAAATGTTTCTTTTAGATATTCTTTATAAGATAATGGTGCCTGTTGCTGCAATTCAGATATGTGCACTGTGTCTTCCAGAAAAAAAATAATATAGATAATGTTAACAACATGAAGTAGAGATGCTGTCACAAATGTCCATGTAAAGCCCATTTCTCTTAAAAAGTACCCAGAAGACAGTCCTGCCAATCCAGATACAACTCCAAAAATTAAATCAACCACAGCTATTCGTTTTGTTTTCTGTTTCTCATCATGACACTGATCTGCTATATAAGCAAAGCCTCCTCCAAGGAAAGTTGCCATACTCCCAAACAGTCCCGAAATAAATGTAACAAAAAACAGGACAGAGATTGGCAAGGAGAAGTACGATATTATAGTGAGGAAAATATCTGCAATCAAAGCTCCAGTTGATGGTAAAACCAAAGACTTTTTTCGTCCCTGGTGATCCCCATTAGCTACAATGATAAAAGCAACTATCAGGCTGGGAACTGCCCCTGTTAAGTCCAACTGCATGTTAAAAATAGAAGTCTTTTCTTGAACTCCCTGCAAAGAGAAAATCAGAAATAATGGTAAACACCATAATATACTGTAAAAAAATAATTATATATATATATATATATATATACATATATATGTATGTATATATATGATATATAATCATGTACTTTATATACTTATGCCATAATAAGCATGCAGCATAACATTTATCATAAAACAGTATTTGTTTACATATTATAAAATATGTTATTGTGAAATATACAGTATCATCTTCCGAGATCATATGATCTCATATAATACTGTATTATGCTGTAATCCAATATAGCATAGTAGTATATATCATAATATATACATTATACCAGATAATAATACAAAGGAATTGCATTTTTCAAAGGCACGCCTTCGTAATTCTATTTCCAGTACCTCTCAAACATCCCTTGTTGCATTAGACCCCAGAACCAGAACTTATTTCTTAAGATATGCTCTCACAAGTACTCTTGACACAGCAGTTTCAATGAAGACAAAACAACAATTCTTTGCTACGTTCATTTACAAGAGCTGGTGTTCTTAGTGTAGGCACCTCCTTCAATACAGAGCACTGCCAAAGGATACTGGGCCCATTTTAATCCTTCAGAAATCATTAGTAGAACAATCTTTGATTGAGAAGCACAGCCCAGGCTCTCTACTCACAGGAGATCTTTTTTTTCTCCCTAAATAATCCTGGTGGGAGGGTCACAAAGAAGCAATTCACTGACCAGCACATTCTGCAAGTGAATAGGGCAGCGTTTGCTGCTGACATCCCCAATGTGCAGTGTTATGAGCAGCAACAGCACACAGATGTGAAATAGTATTAAAAATTATATTGACCCATGTGTATAGAATGTGAACTAACTCCTTACTGGCAAGTTCTGGGTTCAGAAACTGTCCAAATCAGTGATATCTCTGTTGATAAGCCACAGCAAGTATTCTCATAAGGAACAGTAGCTAACGCTGTAAACAAACATCATAGGAAAAAACGTCTTGGTTCTTCTAAAAAGAAGTTTAAAAATCAAATACAGTTTATAGTTAATAGAATATTAATGTTTGTAAAGAAAAGAACTCAAGAGCTAATAGGAAAAAATATTTTGCACATTAATGAAGCTGGCTGCTAAGCGATGGTGTGCAGCAAGCTGACTTGGATCTGGCTTTTAACAGATTTATGCAGGCTGAAGAAACAGCAGTCCCAGCAGCCCTTTCAAAGAGAACAACCTGTCCAGATAAAAGAGCAGCAACAGAGAAGGTGGTAACTGCATTCACACAAACTCTTCCTACAGGATCATCTCACAAAACAGACTTTCAAACATAGAGCGTAACTCTGAAAGCAGATCCCTGAGGCATCAGACAGAGCAGGGCAGCAGCCCTGTCTATGGGTATGGCAGCGCAGCAGGAAGCCAGGCCACCTGGAGCATAAAGCTGTAGAAAAGGACTTAATGTGAGAGGAGAATGGCAGCAAGACTGGCAAGGGATGGGAAATTATTTGGTCTGAAACAACAGTGCCAATGGGAAAGGAAGCAACTCAGCCCACAGACAAACAGGCACAGCAAACAAAGCACAGCAAATAAAGCACTAATAACTCCAGGGCATTTGTAGCTGCATTTGTAGAGCATGAAAACACCTTTCTGCAACAGGCTGTGCTATTTGTGCCATTTATAACACCTGTTGCAGGCGTTGTTCTTTACAAGTGTCAGGTTCTAAGTCAATGACCACCGTAGAAAAGTACATAGGTAATACACTGGAAATCAAACTAAATATTATTACTATTTATGTTCTCAGTCTGCATTAAACATGCATTGCAGATGTTACTGCTGAAATACACAGATATATGAACTTGGAAGAAACCAGCAAAGGTTTGGGTCTCATTGTTTTGGAAGCAGGTGTACAACATAAGGAATGTGGCTATAAATTCGGATTCCCTTCCAGTACCTAAAGGGAGCCCAAAAACAGGAGGGGAGTCAACTCTTTAAAAGGGTAGATAACAGCAGGACAAGAGGGAACAGTTTTAAGTTGAAGAAGGGAAGATTTAGGTTGGATGTCAGGGGGAAGCTCTTTACAGAGAGAGTGGTGAGGTGCTGAAACAGGCTGCCCAGAGAGGCTGTGGATGCCCTGAGCCTGGAGGTGTTCAAGGCCAGGTTAGATGGGGCCCTGGGCAGCCTGGTCTGGTATTAAATGGGGAGGTTGGTCCCTGCATGTGGCAGGGAGGTTGGAGCTTCATGATCCTTGAGGTCTCTTCCAAGCTGGGCCATACTGTGATTCTATAGTATGATTCTATGACACCCCAAATGACTGTAACCCGACTGCCACAAATGACCTGCTGCCTACTGACCAGACAACTAAAGAAGTACAGAAAAACTCATTTAGAGTGAAAGTCCCCCTTTGTGTTGTTATAAACTCATCAGAAATCGATACAGAAAACAACTGGTCAAACCCTCAGCTGCTTTATAATCATGTGGCTACAAAGACTCACTCATCATGTAACTACACACACTCAAAAACAAAGGTCTAGCTTTCTAATCTGTGAATTTGCTCTACTCTGAGACAAATGCTTACGCTGGACAGAAGTAATGCCCAAAAACACAGATTACAAAAGGGAAAGAATGACAGTGAAGAAATGATTCACATGCATACGGATCAAATTAAGAGGGAAGTCTTTTGCCTGAGGCTACAATGTAGAGCATACGACAAACAGGCTCACAAAATTACAAATATTACTGACAAAAGGAAAATGCATGTGCCCTGAACGATAAGCAGTGTTTAATTAATAACATAGCTCCTCCTGAGCTACAAAAACGATTATTCAAACCAGGGATCAGAAGGCTGCGTGTATTTGAGTTACTTTGAAATTCATTTTTATTTATCGCAAAATTGCTATAATAAATGCAAATCCAGGAAATAATTAATCCACATGCTGCCTAGACTACCCATTTTGAATGACAGTCTACTTTTTTTTGTAGACCTCAAGTGATTTTATCTTCTTTTAGTTTCTTCTTACATTTCAATTTGAAATAAATGAGATCAGTAAGAAGCTTCTCCATCCCCAGAACTGAAGGACTTAACACTAACTCAATCTGTAGAAGAGGTTTTCCTCTAAAAGTTGACACCAAACACCCCTGACAGTAGAATTTACTGTACCTACGTATATAACTCAGAGTGACCTTGGAAAATCCCAAACACCTACTTCTATCATCAGGAAAAGGCCTGGGACCATATTACTGGATCTACTCTTTTCATCATACATGGGGCTACAGCTCAGCACAGACACCACTGAAATTTATAGCTGATTTTGAGTTCTACATCAGTATATGATGGGAAAGAGCACGGTACAAAAATACGGGCTAGACAGACAGACTACAGCATGACTGTTCAATAATTCATGGCCTGTGGGCTACCATCGAAACGGAGGGAATGGAACTTTGTCAAGAAAGGGAAACAAGTTCTACTGGCCATGACTCAGATAACGTCTCAAAGGACTCCTACTCTCAAATCAAAACTTCTGTATGTAGGAAACACAGTTGGCTTCCTTTATGCCAAAAATCCTGTAGCTTGCAAATCCACTGTCACCTCAATCAGTGCTGCTGTGTAAATTTCAGCACTCTGCTTCAGTCTTTTGCCAAAAGATACATCAAGTGTTAAATCTTGGAGTGTATGTGGTCACAATTGGAAGCTTGAGTTGTATTTGGGAAGTTTCTAGCAAATGCAAAGTACAGAAATGTTGGTAGGTTTTCGGATGGACTCTGCAATTGGAACTACCAAGCACCACATCTAATTCTAATAGCTGTCTTTTCCATTGACACATGACACCGTACGATAAAATGCCCACAGTTAGAAACAAGGAGCTAATAATAAAAAAAGGCTTTGGGGGAGGAACACAAAAGCATATTTGTAACAATAATTGGTTATGATCTCCAGATCAGTTCCAATGGATGGCATATATTACCTTCCTTTGCTGTCTGGGCTGTTGTCTGGGCATTCTGGACTAGAATTCTATTTTCCTCTTTATCTTCAAATTCTTCCTTCTGCCCTATGAAGAGGAAGAACCTACTTCATGCTAAAAATTCTGAACATTTCTTATTTTCAACAGAAGCACAAGCCATTAAAGATTTTATTTTATATCTGACAAATGAGTTTGATAGGTTCCAATGTTCAGTTCTTCACATAAGCAGGTTGTCACAGATTCCAATCTTGGATGTGACCAAAATCTTCAAGTGCCACCTGTTTTACTGCAGCATCAAGGAATACCAACAGTTAGCTTCCATTCACTCTATTTTCTGTGTAACTTAACCCCATTTTCTGCACAATTTACAGTCCAGGCATCTACTTCCCTCACTTTACCATGCACAGTCAGATTCCACTTAACCCAATCCAAGCTTCAGTTGCTGTTATCAAGGATGACTTTGCTGAACTTCTTCTGTAAATATATTCTTATTGCCATCCCCATGTTAGATACTGCAATCATGTGAATACAGAGTACGTTAGAGGAATTCACTGCTTCAGAAAAACAGTTACAAACTAAAAAAAAAAAAAAAAAAAAAAAATTATTAAAAAAAGATGAGCCTGCACTTGATGAAAAGATGAACCAGCACTCTGATCTAATCCAAACTGTAACCTCTAACTGTAATAACTGCTATATACAACACACTGGGGAAACAGAGACAGTAGGAAAGTGGTGGAGTCACAGCTGCTGGAGGTGCTCAAGGAAAGAGAAGACCTGCCATTTAGGGACATGGTCAGTGGGCATGGTGATGATGGGTTAACGGTTGGGCTAAATGATCTTAGTGGCCTCTTCCAACTTAATGACTCCATGGTTCTCTGAAAGCAAAAATGGAGCATAATCAACTCTTCTGCTGACACTCCACATCAGTTCCGCTAATGTGTAGCATTAAAACTGCTCTGAAGTACCACTGCAGAGGTTTCAATCAGCACCCAGCTACACAGCATACCATGAAAAAGTGTAACAAATGGTACTGGCCATGGATCATCACGCCATCTTTGTATTTCAACAAGGTAGATGAGCAGTGTTCTGTGAATGGTAGATCTGACGTTTTATATATGTAGGACAATTGTCAAACTGTATGTACAAAGAGCACTCCAAATCACAGAGACACCACTGATAGTGAATAAACACATGGAAAGAGAGCTTGCAGCTGCACCCTTTGTTACGGGAGGCCAATGTCAACTTGGGCCCAATCCAAGATGAATTTCAACCAGTAAAAGATGATCGAAAGATTAGAGGATGAATTTATCTCAGCATCTTCCTGGAGAAAATTCATAGAAGCGTGGAACTGTTAGAGTTGGAAGGGACCCTTAAAGGCCATTTAATCCAATTCCCTGCACTGAACAGGCCGCCGAGAGCTAGATCAGGTGCTCACAGCCCCATCTCTGACCCTGAAAGTCTCCATGGATGGGGCTCCACCCACCAGAACTCAGGGCAACCGGTGCCAGTGCCACCCTTATTGCAAAACTTCTCCCTTACACACCTTGTATCCCCACAGACTTCTCTGGGATCTTTCTTCCCGGCCTCTTTCAGCCTTTCATTGTCCTGAAAGCATGACAAATACGTCCAGTGCAACACTTAGAGCAAGTAGGCAGCAAAGTGACAGCAGTTTAGGAAACTACTACATATTCTACCTATAACAGGTTAAATAAGGTAAAAGAGAGAACGACTTGCTCAGTACCTACAGGCTGAAGGTTTTATCGCCTGTATTTCCAGCTGCCTTTTCTCCTTGCTCTTACCTTCTGCATGACATAAGTTGGGCTGCTCTTGTTTTGCACACAGTGACTGCTGTTGTCGCTGCTGATGGCGGTGGAGTTGTACTCCTCTTCCCACAGCTTTCGGTAAATGAACTGCTGAACCACCGGGCTCGTCAGGGAACTTGCGAATACGTAGACGAAAATGACCGGCTCCACGAGCAAAACCTTCCTCATTTCTGGATCCTACCTTTAACTCGCTTCAGCAGAAAAAATAAAACGTCACAACGATCGCTCAGACGAAAGGAAACCGCCGTCCAACCTGCAGGAGGAAGGACTGCGGCACCCGACCCCCCGCCCGCCTCAGCGCCTCCTCCTCCCTATTCCCGCCGGTCGCCGTACCTCAGCCGGCCCGCTCCCCGCCCCGTCCCGCCAGAGGTCACGCCGCGCCGTGTTTATGTCCGCACTGCGCGACACCGAGGGCCGGGCGGCGAGGGCGGCTCTCCAGCGGCGCGGCCCCGCCCCTCGGCCGGGAGGAAGGAGGCGGGCGGCGCGGGGCGGCGCGGCTGTGCTCGCCGTTTATCTGCGCGCCTTCCCGTCTGCAGCCCATTAAGGGCTGATTTTGGTGCAGAGACTCTGTGACGGCTTTTCCCCGTTCACGCTCTTGGCAGGGTTTTGTTGCCGGCAGTTTGTCTCAGGGCCGTGCGTCTCGCTTGCCCGGAGTCCGGCGTGCTTGCTGCCAAGGTGGGGTGGACTTTGTCTTCTGGCGGCGCTGCCCCGGCCCGTGCTTTGGCACTGCGCGAGAGGTGATGGTGGTGCAGATCTGCCGTTGTGCTGCCCGGCTGGGGCTGTGTCCACCGTGGTGAAAGACAGCATAGGCTCCAGATGCGGTGCTGCACCCAGGCCTGGGGGTCGGGCACAAGAAGGGTACAGAGCTGCTGGAGCGGGTCCAGAGAGGGCCAGGAGGGTGATAGAGAGCTGGAGCACCTGTGAGGATAGGCTCAGGGGGATGGGGCTGTTCAGCTTGGAGGATGGAAGGCTCTGGGGAGACCTCACTGCGGCCTTCCAGGACTTCAGGAGAGCTTATAAACAGGAGGGGGACTGACTTTTTACAGGGTCTGATAGCGATAAGACAAGGGGAAATGGCTTTAAACTAAAAGAGTGGAGATTTAGGTTGGATGTCAGGAGAAAGTTCTTCACTCAAATGGAGGTGAGGCCAGAGAGCTGTGGGTGCCCCATGCCTGCAGGTGCTCAAGGCTGGGCTGGATGGGACTCTCAGCAGTCTGAGCTGCTGGGAAGCATCCCTGTCCTCAGCAGGTGTTGGGGCCGGGTGGGCTGTAAGCTCCCTTCCAACACAAGTCATTTTGTGATCCCATGATCTGAGCATTCTATGGGTCTACATGCACAAGGGATGGAGCGTGCCTTTGCATCAGAGCTATATCACTTCAGAGTGCGTTTCTTGTACAACCAATACATCTATGGCAGAAGCCCTGCTGTATCACCCCTGCTTGCTGCAGTGCAGACAAACTACTTTCCCTTGCGTTGAGGTGGGGTGCTCTGGAACTGGCACAGCAGTGCCCCTGCTCTCCTCATACTCCTCGCTGCGCCATGACATAGAGAGATGATTCTAACCTTCCCACAAGTGTGGTACAACAAGGACAGGAAACAGAGAGCAGAAGAAAAGGGCCACCTTTCAATCTTCGTACTTCTCATCAATCACAAATATTGCAGAAAACCTTATTATCTAAAAATAAAAAAGATTAAACTAATAATAATAACAAATTAAAGCTTCCCAGAAGTAGTTTTTCTCTTAAAGCAGGAAGCACCTATAGTTCAATAATTTCACAAATTTTCAGTTCCTTCATAAGCTTATTTAGCACCAGCAATGTGTGTCATGTGATCTCTGAATGTGTTTCACTACCATGTGACACACACCAGTCAGCCCCAAATTTGGGAGCCACTGTGGCCTGTCATACCCCTCAGTATAGGATCAACACAAAGGTTCAGTGGCCATGGTCTCCTGATGGTGAGCACATTTGGTATGGCACATGGGCTTGTTGACAGACAGTAACACACAGTTCTGGCCTGAGCTCAGCTCTACAGAGTGTTGTCCTTCTCTCTTTATCCAGGTCCATAGTCCAGTTTGTCCTGTAGCAGTATTTTGATACAAGATAAAGCAAAAGTGATCGTGTGAGGGTTGTAGGCCAATGGGCTGCCGGATGAGCAGGGCAGTTCAGGTCACCCAGCCAGCAGGTAACATCACTTTGGATGGAGTGAAGGAGGGATTTTAAGCCCATGGGAGCTTTCTGTTGTTCCACAGAAGCTCCGAGCCCCAGCAGGTTTCTTGCTAGGTCCAGTTTGTCATTCACAGGCATGCATGGTGCAAGTTTAACTCGTTCTAGTGAGCAATCTCTTTGGGATAGTCTGCCTAGTGCAAAAGAGGAGAGCCTCTCCCCAGTCACCAGGAGTCTTGGAGGACTGAAGGTGTGTGTGTACTCACTGGGGAGATCAAGTCTCCTAGGAGCACTTGCTAAGCTTTCAGTCAGACAATCTTAAAACCAAACTTTACCAGTCTTTGAAGGTGATATGTCATCTGGGTGTCAGGGCATGGAAAACATTGCCATGAGGTTTTGAACCGTTCTCATTTCAGGCAGAAATATGTTAGAGACGAGCTTAATGAAGTTCAAAGTTCAGAACATTAGGAGCTGTTTCAGAGATCAGCACTGGTCAAAGGGCAAAGACGGTCAGAGGCAAAAGTCGTTACTGAAAGCCATCTGCGCTTCAGGGGATTGTGCTTGGCTTCTGTGGCATTTGAGGATTGCTGGGATGACATTCCCAGATTATTTTGTTTCTGGAAAAAAAGGCAATTTTAATGTTGTATGTATATTTCTCAAAATCAATAATATAATGAATGTATTTTTTATCAAGTTCTTACAATGATTATCTGGAAACATTTGATGGATTTGGATTAACTCATTCGTTGAACTTTTCTTTTTTGGCTGAAAAAATTATTAGTGATTTAATTGATTTACTGCCATTTAAAATGTGATTTTAATTGCCTTCTAAGAAGTTCAGTACTTCTTTAAATTGAGGTGGCTTTGATTTTCCACATCAGCTACCTACAGAGACTGTGGAGAACCTCCATACATCATTTGCAGATTGCTGAATGATATTAAAGAGTACTAATACTCAGCTGGAGTTTTCAAGGCTATCTTGAGCATAAATGAAGAAAAAGAAAAAGAAAGAAAAAAAGCACATTTTCTTCACAGTTCTATACAAAACTCAGCTCTGCAGATGCCTTGAATAACTTGCATCATGGCCACTAGCATGAGTGGAGATCTGTGGTGGAAGTTCTCCAAATAGTACCACTATGAAAAAGGAGAAGGGAATAAGCTGTGTGATTCTGCAGAGACGTGTCTGGTTTTAGATGCCACTGTTCTTTTTGTTTTCATTATAACACTGTTGACTGACGGAGCTTGAATTCAAACCCTGACAACAGAGAGTTGTAACGGAGATTTAACTATCAGGCTGAAAGAAAGCATGATAAGGAAAGTTTGTGCAAAACACACGTCTGAAATACCTCGTTGTTTTATTAATTATTATTATTATTATTATTAAAGGCAATGAAAGACTGTTATTACCATATCCAACCCAGAGGAAACCTGTGCCTGTTTCATATCTCTAATTTTCATTCAGTGCAGATCATCACTAATTTTAAGAGTTAAGACCAAAAATTAGCATCTCTGATCTTTGACTGTGATCTTTGACTACTAGTGGTTCCTGCCACAGCAGCTGGTCCTGACCTGCAGCCCAAGCAGAGCAGAGGGGCTGCCATCTTTACCCCATCTCCTCCCATAGCCAGCTGGATCCATCCGCAATGCGTTTGTTTTTTGTCTCCTCTGTCCCTGCAGGGTAACTTAAAGGCACAAGTGATCATAAATAATAACATTTTTGTCTTTATTTGCAGTCTAGAATATATGAAACGATGTGATTAAGTTCACGTGGTGAACTTAAGGATAAGATGGAAAGATAATATATGTGGGTGAGGACAGACTGCTGACAACGAAGGTGTTGTTATGAACTCCTCTGTCACACACTGAGCACTAAGGCTGACCGGGTTTCCACATCATACAGTTGCTATGTTGAAAAGTTGTACTTGTTTCAGTCCTCAGACACTGGTAAAACATGGAGATATATTTGTTTTATCTGAATCAGATGGTCTTAGCAGAACCAGTGTTCTTTCTAGCTTGTCATTTGTGCACACCAAAGAATGGCAGCCATCTCCAAACTGCGGTTTAATCAGTATTTTTGTGTCTCAGGAACTTCCCCTCTCACATTCAAGTCCCCAGTGCTTACTTTTTAGTTTAGTTAACTTGTTGCAGAAGATCCTGGTGTGTGTGGATGGGTCCTTTGTGGCTTCCTCCAGTCCAAAGCAAAGATGCTTGGGGCTGTGAAGCTGTGGGGGGCTTCCAGGCACCTCAGTGCTTTCAAATTGCAGCTTCTTGCTTCTTCTGCTTGTGGTTGGTTGGTTTGTTTGTTTGTCTTCCTATGTTGTGTTCAGTGACATTGCCTAGACATACTGTTCCTTTTCACTATAAATATGTAAGTTGTGTAATAAGGAATTTCTCCATTTCAGCATCATCTTACTGTGCAAAACCACATTTAAAAATAAACAGCGTTAGTGCTGTCTTGTGTGTCACTCCATGTCCCCTCCCTGCTAAGCAGTTTATTGGGTAAGGATGATCAGCAGCCAGTGGTGTTCCTGGTTAGCATGAATCAGCAAAGTGAGTCTCACTTTTGGCTTTATTTCACTTCACCTATTTGCAGGAATGGACATCCTGCTTGCAAGAATCTTTAAATCTGCAATACTGGGTCCCTTTGCCTTTCTTCTTCTCTTTATTGTTTTTTTTTTTTAATTATTTTTAAACATGTAAACAGTGCCAACAATACCTTAAAATGAGGAACTGAAAGTAGGTGGTAGAAACAAGGCTGCAGTTTGTGCAGCTGAGTCACTCATGTGCTGCAGAAGGCCATTAAGTTTTATTTGTCCTTGTCAAAACATATTCTAAGTTACCTTTGAGTTGTTTCTTGTTTCCTGATGTAAGCAGAGGCTGATTAAGGAGAATGCCTCAGAGTCTTCATCTCCTGTACTCTGCAGGTATTCCAGCTTGAGAAAAGTGTTTTTCACTCCTAGCAAAGCTGTGGGACTGGCCAGCTGCATTCCTTCTTCATAGAACAGGCCTTATCATCTGCCTTCTCCCTCAAGAGAGGCACAAAAATCCAGTCTTAGCCATCATAAGACGTGAAGTTCTTTTACAGTACTGAAAACTATTTATTTGCAAAGGTAAACAAGAGATAGAGTAGCTCCATTCCTTTGGAACTGGGCTACTTACAGCTGGGAGGCACTCATTACCTGGTTTAATCATGTGATGATTAAGTTTAAGCATACACTAAGCAAGTTCTCTGGGGACCTATTAATCACAGCAGCCTAACCAAGACAGGTGCAGCTCCAGGTTCAAAAAGTTTATGAACTGCT